AATTATTATGATTTTTTTAAAACTTATTTTAATAAAAACTTTCCAATTTATATTCGTTTGAAAGAATTTAAGAAATATGTATATTTTTTCAAAATTTCTAAAAAATAAATTTATTTTTCAAAAAATTAATTCGAAATATTTAAAAATTATTATTAGTTTATTATTGTCATTTCTTTCAATGCTATTATTTTAATTCACCACCTTCACACTATTTATTGTCATATGTCATTCTTAAAACGCTTTCAAAGGAAATTAGACATCAGTGATACAAAAATATTTTTAAAAAATGTCAACAAAAAAATGTATTGTCTGGTCTTCTGGAAAGAAGAGAAGTCTTGCTCAACAATAGGGGAACCTGCAAAATTTAAAAATATTCCTGATGGAGGCGAATCGAGTTTGACGGTTAAAGGAGTATCGTATGACATTGTAATTGTCGCGAAAAGCGGTAAATATATTTTTTAAAATAAATAATCTTTATTAATATTATTATTATTATTATTATAATTTTTTTTTTTTTTTGCTTAGGGAATTTTGGGAAATCTGCCTACAGATACCTTGGATTCCGCGCTCCAAGGTTATGTGGGGTTGGTATGATAAAACAAAGGGAAATAAAAAAAAGAAAAATAAATCTATAAAAAATTAAATTTAATACACTGGCGACCTACTACCAGCCCGACCCACTAAAACCCGTAACCCTTCTTCTGGAGCCCTTTACCCTCCCTCGGAACTGTCGTAAGACTTAAGCCTTCGAGGGTGGCGCTCCAACTCTGTCGCTAATGCGACCTTCTTCTTCTCACTGCGGTTTTCCTGCGTCCGTAGTTAAAAAGATGATTAAAACTATTTCATAGTCTAAGCGGAATTTACAGCACGACAATAATAAAAAAAAAATTTTTTTAAGAAGTTTAAAAAGTCAAAGGATAAAATTACAAACGGATATATAAAAAAAGAAAAAATAAACGCGTATAAAATATTGAAAACATAAAACTGTACAAAGATGAATAAAAAACACAAACAATTAAAAAATGTATAAGGACAAATAAATCAGAAAATAAATTAATAAAAAACAAACGTACAAAATTAAAAGCTGTTTAAATTACGCTTTTTGGCGGCCGTCGAGATCCTTCCTCGACATAACCGAGATTATGAAGTTCTCGACTTGCCGCCAATTGTCTTCTGACTGGGTCATCAGCGATACCATGTTCTCCGGTGTAACTTGACTGTTTACACCTTTAAACATGGCCCGCCTCTCCAAGTCCCATTTCTTGCATGAGAAGAGGGTGTGCTCCGCGTTGTCCTCAGGGAACTGGCAATATGCACACACCTCGTCCTCGCGTAATTTAAAGCGACACAGGTACGAGTTAAAACACCCGTGACCTGTGAGCGCCTGAGTCAGATAATAGGAAACCTGACCGTGTTTCCCATTTATCCAGGTGGCGAGTGCCGGGATAAGGCGATAAGTCCATCGACCTTTTTCCTCACCATCCCATCTTTCCTGCCATCTTTCTATGAGCCTGTGCCTCGCTTCTTTGCGGATCAGGCCCTTGCTTGGTCTTATTTCCTCATCTAAGGAACTGCTTTCTTTAGAAAAGAGAAACATTTCTTCCCTTTCCCTCGCTAAAAGATCTGCTGGCGGGACACTTGCAAGGACCTGCACAGCACTCGTAGATACCGTCTTATATGCAGAGATGATACGCGTTGTTATCGATCTCTGCGCCGATAGTATCTTTTTACAGATGGTCACACATCTTTTATTCCTCAGGGATGATGCCCACGCTGGTGCTGCATAGAGCATTTTAGCGTGGGCGACACTCGCCACCAGTCTCCGTTTTTGTTCACGGGGTCCGCCAACATTTGGCATTAGCCGTGAAAGATTAGCCGCACACTCGATCGCCTTATTTGACGCCGTAGACATGTGGTGGTGGAAGTTTAACCTTCCATCCAACTCCACACCAAGATATTTAATTTGTTGACTCCATTTGACCTCGAATCCGTCTATCACGATTCGTCTGTCTGTGACTTGCAGTGCCTCGGTCTTTTCCAGGGCCATTGCAAGACCTCTGGTATCCAGCCAGCTTTTTGCAAGTCGCAGACATTCCTTCACCAATGTCCCAAGAGCCTCCTTACTTTCGGCAGTGCACACGAACAACGCGTCGTCCGCAAAGCCGATGATCACCGCACCTTCGGGCAGATCCATTTGCAGAAAATCATCATAAGATACATTCCATACAAATGGACCCACCCTCGAGCCTTGATGAGCCCCACGCTGCATCTCTTGCCTGAGAGTGCAGGTGTCTCCCTCATATATAACCTACCTGTCGCTAAGATAATTATCCATTATCCGCAACAAGTAGGGCGGCATGTTTTTCTTCTTCATCGACCCGATGAGATCTTTCCATCTTGCGGAATTAAACGCGTTGCGTATGTCAATTGCTACCAACGCGCAGAAGCTCTTTTTTTTCCAGGTCCCAACTTGTTTTTTCCTGCTTTGGCTAGGTCCACAACTGCCTGGATGGCATCAACTGTGGACTTGCCTTTACGGAAACCAAATTGGTGATCGGATAGACTATTCTCTCCGGTCAAGTGGCTTTGCATTCTCTGCAGAACCATATCCTCTAGAAGTTTACCCATCGTATCCAACAGGCATATAGGCCTGTACGATGAAACCTTATCTAGAGGTTTTTCACCTTTCCTTAGGAGGACTAACCTCTGTCGCTTCCAGTCGCGGAAGAACTCTCCTCTCTCAAGGCAAAGATTTAAGCATCGAAGCAGAATCTGGGGTGAAGTGTCGATTACCAACTTTAGTATCTCGTTACTTATCCCATCGATTCCAGGCGCCTTGCCTGTTTTCAATCTTTTGCCTGCTTTTTGCAGTTCACTAAGTGTGAAGAGTTCTTCCTCTTCTAAGGTATGGTTCCGCAGGAGGAAACAAAGAATTTATTATCTTTCTGACCCAATAGGGATTGTCCAGGCCGGGGGTCTTTTGCCTCGTCGCTAATTTCTTAGTAACGATTTTAAAAGCCAGACCCCATGGGTCCTTATCGACTTCCTCGATTAGGTCCTTCCAGCTACGGCGTCGCAACTTGCGGATCTCTTTCTTGAGGTTCTTTTTCGCCTCCTTGAAAGCCTCTTTCAGCAAGTGATCTCCCTTAGATCGGGTATATGTCCTTCTTGCTTTGAGGCATTCCTTCCTCAAGGAGACTAGCTCCTCTGACCACCAGTGCAAGGATTTTCTTACGGGAATGGCGCCTTTGCGTGGCATTGACGCATTGCAAGCGGTGACTATCATGTTTCTCACCGCTCGCACCTTCCCATCCAGACTGCTCGGCCTCTTCACCCAGCCCAAGTCCTCAATCAAAAGGGCTTCTCTTAGGGACCGGCCGAACTTTTCCTTGTCGAGTCTCTTCATATTCCACGAGGAGGCTCTCTTCGCCTTATCCTGATACCAAGGGGCGAGGTCGCTCCCTTGATACTGCTCACTGCAGAACAGGATATCGACCTCATTTTCCCTTGCCGTTTGCATTTGGAGCAACTGTGCATCCTTACTTGTATGCAGGTTGATCTGCTAAAATTTTAAGGATTTGCCCTTTTAATCTTTTGCAGTTCTTCCCAGTAAACTGGGCAGGCTCTCTTTCCGGACTCATGATTTGTTTCTATCTTTCCCAGGTCCAAGCATGTAAGGCACTTCGGCTTAACGTTACAGCTCTTCGCGAGGTGTCCCTCTCTGCCGCATCTCCGACAGTTTTTACTTCTGTCGGGGCCTTTGCAGAATAGGGTTCTGTGTCCGTAACCTAGGCACTTTTGGCACCTAGCTACTTCAACATGCTCGCGAATTTGAGCATTTATCCAGCCGATTCTGATTCGGCCAAGTTTAAGCAGAATGTCACTTTCTGCTTCTGCTAAGCGGATTAGAGCCACCTTAGTACTTCTAAAGCGCGTCAAAAGGTGGCACTCTATCTTCAGATCAGGTTTGCCCAGCTTATCTCTCAGAACTGAAATCACCTCATCCTCCGTCGTGGTTTCATCCAGCTCCTTGATCTCAAGAGACCTTTTATTTACGAGAGCAGTGACCTCGCATAGCAAGGCGCCATGCAGAGCCGAGGACAGTGCTTCCGCAAACTTCAAGGTATCTTCACCCTTTTTCACTATCACAAGAACCTCCTGTTTAAAGGTTCTCCTGATTTTATGAATCACGGTACCAGTGTCTTCTGGTTTAACCTTTGGTTTTATCAGCGGCAAGATACCTTCATAAGATTTTGGGTCTCTTGCCGTGATCTTTACCGCTTCCGTGGTTTTAAGCTTCAAAGGGCGTTTTGAGAGCTCTGTTTTCTCGCCTGGGGGCTTATTTCTTGGAGCCCGTTCCCTTTTTTTTCCAACAACCTTAAAGCCGTCCTTATTGTCTGCTCCTTCTTTTAAGACGGTCTTAGCATACGTCTGGCTAAGACTACTTGAAGACGCCTTTTTTTCTCCAACTAGCGACTCAGAATTAAGCGGTGGAGCATCCTTTCGCTTAATCCTCTTTTCGCTCCGAGTCACTTGTTGGGGACTCTTATCCGGGCTAATACCTTCTCTGGGGCTCTTATTTACGTTCTTTGTCTTATTAGAATCTGTAGCTGCTGCACTATCAAGAGTTGCAGCAGCACTCCTCTTTTGCCTTGGAGTTCCCACAGTTGAAGTCAGTGGCTCCTGATCCCTGAACGATTCAGGGATAAAACGCAGATTCCTACAAATTGTTAAGAACGCACTCTCCAAAACCGCCACGCCATCCTGGATGTCGCGACTGACGTTCTTTTGGCGCTTGAATGCCTGGTGCACGCTCTTAAAAATCCCGGGAATAGCCAGGAACTGATTTGCGACATTTGATTCGTAGCATGTCAGCTGGCTATCTATTTGGCTCCCTCCAAAATCCTTGGAGCCATCTGCACCGACTATCGGGGCTTGCACCCGATCAGAATCGGTGGTGGGATTACCCTCTTTCGAGGTACCCACTTGGAGTATTTCATTTAAAATTTTGTCCATTTCATTCATTTTTTTTTATTTCTTTGTCCTGTGTCGAGGGATAATCGGGCCTTAACAAGGTACTACCATCTGGCCAGGATGGGCACTGCGGGCACTGGCGTGAACTCAGAGAAACCATGTTTTCGGCCGTAGGCACTGAAGTCACGGTCGACAACATGGTTCAAATTATGTTACAGAGCGCAGACTCATGGCGCGAGATAGAGTCCTTTGTCATCAAAGTCATGCAGACAAAGGAGAAGGACAGAAGGATGTTACAACACCATCGGAGAATTCCTACAGCTCGGCTGGGCACTCGCGGAGGACGGAGGAGAACTTAACTGGACCTCCTCCCTTTTTCGCTAGCGCTTAGTTAAGGATTTTGGATCTGGAAGTAGGTAAGGAGACCTTCACTGGCGATGTTAAGCTTGACGGCAGTTCCGCCAGGGGAGATATGTCTCGAAAGGGAGTGGTTTTTAGTGGGTCGGCTAGAACAAGAGCGGTCATCCCCACATAACCTAGGAGTACGGGCTCCAGGTATCTGACTTGGAAGTAGGCCTCCAAGGTTATAGCAGATTTTCCACTTCCCACGCAAAAAAAAACTATTATTATTATTATTATTATTTTTTTTTTTTTAATTTTTTTTTTATTCACGAGGGAGAAGAGGAAATGCATTTACGCATCCCTAGGAAGATCCCACTTACCTGGGGTATGTCGGACTCGTACAAAATGCAAGGAAAAAAAAAGAAACCTCACATACCTGCTTTTAACGGCAGTCACCCTACCGACTAAAACCTCTTCTTGTTTTCCCTGGGTTTCGAACCTTCTATCCACCTACGGAACTACCTAGTGGCTTCAGACTTCGTAGATGAATGGTTCCATGTAGTCGCTGGCGCAACTCTCCCGTGCCGCTCTTGTTCTGGCCTTATTTTCTCCTTGTCCTTGACAAAGTCTTCTTTACTTCCTCGAGGGCAGTTCTAAAGACCTTGCAACTCCCTGATCCAGCTACATGTTGGATGTTCTCCTTTTCGCCGAACTTCGCCTTGAATAAGAAGCAGCATGGGCTCTTCTTACAGTCTGCTGCCTTATGGCCGGCTTCTCCGCACTTAAAGCACGCAGCCGACCTATCTACTGCATTGCAGTCTCGACCTATATGACCATAGTCAAGACACCTATGGCACCTTTTGACCATCACTCTACTTCTGATCCTGCAGGACACGAATCCAATCTTTACGTGACCCACCTTCTCCAGCTTATCAGCATCTTCCTGGCTGATGACCACAACAGCGAGTTTCACTCCTCGCTTATTTGGCCCAAGGACCGTCACCTTTCTGCTTCCAGCTGGAACTGTGGAAACTTTCTCCAGGGCATCCTCAACATCTTCCTTCTCAGTAAGGGCATCCATGTCGCGGATTTCCAGCGTAGTTCGCCGATCCGCCATCTGCACCTTACCCAAATCGCCGATTATCTTTGTCACCTCCTCGGTGAACAGCTTCTTGTTTGAAGACCCTCCAATTTTAATGAGAAGGTCTCCCTTTTTAGTAGGTAAAGCTCCCACAACCCTTGTCTGGCTGGCCTCCAGGTCAGCCTCCCTTCGAACCTTCGCCATTATTATTATTATTATTATTATTTTTTTTTTTGCTTAGGGACTTTTGGGAAATCTGCCTACAGATAACTTGGATTCCGCACTCCACGGTTATGCTGTTTAAATTACGCTTTCTGGCGGCCGTCGAGATCCTTCCTCGACATAACCGAGATTATGAAGTTCTCGACTTGCCGAAAATTCTTTTCTGACTGGGTCATCAGCGATACCATGTTCTCCGGTGTAACTTGACTATTTACACCTTCGAACATAGCCCGCCTCTCCAAGTCCCATTTTCTGCATGAGAAGAGGGTGAGCTCCGCGTTGTCCTCAGGGAACTGGCAATATGCACACAACTCGTTCTCGCGTAATTTAAAGCGACACAGGTACGAGTTGAAACACCCGTGACCTGTGAGCGCCTGAGTCAAATAATAGGAAACCTGACCGTGTTTCCTATTTATCCAGGTGGCGAGTGCCGGGATAAGGCGATAAGTCCATCGACCTTTTTCCTCACCATCCCATCTTTCTTGCCATCTTTCTATGAGCCTGTGCCTCGCTTCTTTGCGGATCAGGTCCTTGCTTGGTCTTATTTCCTCATCTAAGGAACTTCTTTCTTTAGAAAAGAGAAAGATTTCTTCCCTTTCCCTCGCCAAAAGTTCTGCTGGCGGGACACTTGCAAGGACCTGCACATCACTCGTAGATACCGTCTTATATGCAGAGATGATACGCGTTGTTATCGATCTCTGCGCCGACAGTATCTTTTCACAGATGGTAACACATCTTTTGCTCCTCAGGGATGGGGCCCATACTGGTGCTGCGTAGAGCATTTTAGCATAGGCGACACTCGCCACCAGTCTTCTTTTTTGTTCGCGGGGTCCGCCAAAATTTGGCATTAACCGTGAAAGATTAGCCGCACACTCGATCGCCTTATTTGACGCCGTAGCCATGTGGTGGTGGAAGTTTAACAAACCATCTAACTCTACACCAAGGTATTTAATTTGTTTACTCCACTTGACCTCGAATCCGTCTATCACGATTCGTGGGAGCTCATAACCACGTCTGTCTGTGACCAGCAGTGCCTCGGTCTTTTCCAGGGCCATTTCAAGACCTCTGGTATCCAGCCAGCTTTTTGCTAATCGCAGACATTTGTTCAACAATGTCCCAAGAGCCTTCTCACTCTCGGCAGTACACACGAACAACGCGTTGTCCGCAAAGCCGACGATCATCGCACCTTCGGGCAGATCCATTCGCAGAAAATCATCGTAAGATACATTCCATACAAATGGACCCACCCTTGAGCCTTGAGGAGCCCCACGCTGCATCTCTTCCCTGAGAGTGCAGGTGTCTCCCTCATATATAACCCACCTGTCGCTAAGATAATTATCCATTATCCGCAACAAGTAGGGCGGCATGTTTTTCTTTTCCATCGACTCGATGAGATCTTTCCATCTTGCGGAATTAAACGCGTTGCGTATGTCAATTGCTACCAACGCGCAGAAGCTCTTCTTTTTCCCAGGTCCCAATTTGTTTTTTCCTGCTTTGGCTTTGTCCACAACTTCCTGGATGGCATCAACTGTGGACTTGCCTTTACGGAAACCAAATTGGTGATCCGATAGACTATTCTCTCCGGTCAAGTGGCTTTGCATTCTCTGCAGAACCATATCCTCTAGAAGTTTACCCATCGTATCTAGCAGACATATAGGCCTGTATGATGAGACTTTATTTAGAGGTTTTTGACCTTTCCTCAGGAGGACTAACCTTTGTCGCTTCCAGTCGCGGAAGAACTCTCCTCTCTGAAGGCAAAGATTGAAGCATCGAAGCAGAATCTGGGGTGAAGTGTCGATTACCAACTTTAGGATCTCGTTACTTATCCCATCGATTCCAGGCGCCTTGCCTGTTTTCAATCTTTTGCATGCTTTGTGCAATTCGCTAAGTGTGAAGAGTTCTTCCTCTCCGACTTTGCAAGAACTCTAGTCGCCTCCAAATAAGAAGCAACCCTGGCCGAAGCAGCCTTACTCGCCTCCGTCTCCATAGCAGTAGGGTTTGCCTGGGTCTCCTTGCTCTTAACCTTCTTACCCTTGGGAGTGGTCACAGAAGAGTCAGTCTCCGGACCTTCATACTCTCTAGGGCGCTTCCTTGGGTCGATGGGCTTGCTCTCGCCAGATGTGGTGTGCGACATCGATCTAGGAATTTCAGGATTCGACTTTGGTTTGCTTGGGCTAATGAAGGGCCTAGGTATAAAACGCAGGTTACTGCGAAGCACCTCGTGCACCTTCCCCAATTCCACCATTCCATCCTGAACATCCTTGCTAATGTTTCTTTGTTTCCTGCAAGCACGCCACATGCTGTCAAGTATTTTTGGGATCAGATCGACCTGTTCTAAGACATTTTCTTCGAATCTGCTAAGTCCCACATCCTCAGAATTTTTGCTTTGGCTCCCTCCAAAATCCTTGGAGCCGTCTGCACCGACTACCGGGGCTTCAACCCGATCAGAATCGGTGACGGGATTACCCTCATTTGAGGTACCCGCTTGGAGTATAATATCTAAATTTTTGTCCATTTCAGTTTTTTTATTCTTTGTCCCGTGTCGAGGGACAATCGGGCCTTAACAGGGTACTACCATCTGGCCAGGATGGACCCTGAACCGCTTCCGTTAGTTACATAGACGTTATAGCATTGCCGGAGCATTGATGCGACGTCTATGATATCCAAGGGCACGTGAACATGTATGTTCGGACGTGGAGGTCGATTTGTCTCTCCAAGATAGCAGGAAGTTTCCGCAGAGGGAGTGCATCCTGGTATCTCTTCACAGAGTTTACCCTATTATTATTATTATTATTATTATTATTATTATTATTATTATTATTATTATAAATATTTTAGATTTTTTATTCTAAATTTTTGAATGAATTTTTTTAATTATTTATATTCATATTTAATTTGAAAGGTTAAATAATTTTTTTATGAATTTATTTATTTATATTTATTTTTATATCTTATTGATATTTTATTTATTTTTATTATAATTTTAATGTATGTTCCTTATTTTTATGTAAACATAGAAAGCAGGACATTTCTGGATGAAATGGATGTTGATGAAGAAGGAAAATAATACCGATTAATCCATCAAAAAGCGTTCCAAAGAAAGAAAATAATACTTCGGCAAAAATTGTTATGAACAAGAACAAAGAAAATGTTCAGTCGCTGATAAATAAGGAGGTTATGGGGTTAAAAAATCTCACCACTGCGAATGCAGGAAGCAGTTCAAAAAAAAAGGTAATAGCAGGGAATTTGATTTTGCTTCTTCCTGTATTTATCTTTTTTCGGATAAATAATTTAAATTTTTTTCCTGCCCAGTAGTAGAGCTAGGAGACTTCTGGACCACTTACCTACAGTCGGTAAGGTAGATTTCTTAATTTCGTACTTTCAAGTGGCTTAGAGGGAGTGTTCTACCTCACCGACCGAGTTTTTAGTACCGGCTGCCACCGCTAGATGGCGCCACTTAATTTTTGCTCAACTTAAAAGCCGTTGGTGGGGTATTTGAAAATTTATTTTTCAAAGTTTAAAGTGGCTTAGAGGGGGTGTTCTACCTTACCGACCGAGTTTTTAGTACCGGCTGCCACCGCTAGATGGCGCCACTTAATTTTTGCTTGTAGGGATCGAGCATGATAAAGTTGGTTTCTGCAACTTATTATATTTTCTCTCGCACATGCAAGGAGAGATTCGACGCGCTTACTGGATGCGCCTTAAAGTTTTTCTCTCTCTAGCGAGAAGAGAGACAACGATACGCGTACTGTATGATTGACCGCGCTTATTATGTTAGTTGTGTCTGGAACCACTAAAGTGAAACACGCATTGTATTTTGCGTTACATTCAATTTGAATAAATTTATTATTAAAACGTTTAAATATTCTTTTTAATGAGACCACATTACCCTAAGTAACACGCGATATTGTGAGGATTCCCTTTTGATTAAATTGGACATTTTTAGCCTTTTAAATAATTTTGAAATCCCACATTGGTGACCCCGACGAGATCGGGTAAAAGACGCTACTTTTGAAATAAAGCATCCACTAAAATTGTGGCAATCAAATACTGAACTGGTGTATAGTGATGGTGAATGGTGTATATAAGAATGCTCCGAACAATTGAGTAAAAAAAGTTCGTCGAATAAAGTCATTTTGGACGATTTACGAAACTTATTTTCGGAGCACGTTTTTTTCCAAAGGACGCCACGCCTTCACACCGGAGGAGACGGATTCATATTCTACTAGCAGCAACAGTTCTCCTGAAACACAAAATTTTTTTTTCCAATTTAAAATTCATTCCCTAAAAAAAATTTTTTTTTTTACATTTTTTTTATATAAAAAATGTTTTTATTAAACTGAGTTTTTTTTACTTATGAAGTGGTCAATTCACAGCCCGGTTCCAGCCAACATTGGACTGTTTACCAGACTTCATCGAGGTCACGGACGTCCTGGTACAGCATCTACGAAGAAAACAACCATTCCGACATCAGCTGATTCGAGCCTGGTGAGAAAAATTGGCGGTTAAATTTGAAATTATAAGGCTTTGGAAAACGGCGCATGGGCAGAACACTCTAGCCCATGCAACAGGTGCGTAACGTTCACTACCTGTGGCAGTAACAGTTTTCCGCTCTTTTAAATTTAGAATATTTTCTTTCATACTTCCCGCCTGATTGACGGACATCTTTTTGGAGGAGAGAAGGCGCCAATGCTTGAGTCCAGTCCTGTCACGAGGTTGGGAATTGTCTAAAAAAACGCCAAACAAAATTACCTAGGGGACAACATCACGCAGCACACGAGGTCAACTATCGTTTCTTGTATGTCGGGCCCACTTTGATGTATGTAAGTAAAGTGACAGTGGTTCTCGGCCAGCTCGGTGTGGACAGTGTGATTGTTCATGAAAGCGACATTGAAAAACTTTAAAAAATTTTCCATACATTTTTTTTTTATTTTTAAATTTTATTTATTTATTATCAAACTTTTTATATTTGATTTTTTTTTTAATTGAAACCTTTGACATATCATTGTTTCTTCGAGTTTATAATTGTTATAGATTGTCAAATTTTTACATTCATGTCTCTTTCTTTTCTTTTTTTTAAATTTTTTTTTACTTTTCCATGAAAAATAAAATAAAATTATTGTTGCCCCTTGCGTCACTTATTATGCCAGGAACTTTTATTTTATTTTTTTTACAACAGCGTCCGTTTGGAAACAGTTTTTGTTTTTTAATTCTGTTGACATTATCGTTATTATTGTGCTGTCAGTTTGTTTAATTTGTTTGTGCATTGCTCATACGCGTTAAATAATTTTATTTTAAACAATAATAAGTTAGTTTTTTTGGAGAACAGTCTTAGACTTAACAGTTTGTTTATTGACAACATTTCATAACAATTTAATTAGAGTCCATTTATGTATTTATTTTTCGAACTTTTTCTCTCCAGATTTTGTTGTTTTGTGTTTTGCTCTGCGGGTTCTTTTTGAAATCACAACGATGACAGGCGTCGGAAGCGACGATTATATGACTGATGATGGTTCCGTACAGGAAGACGCGCCGCTCGCCAACCGCAGGAGAAACAACGGTTTTCTTCAAATTCTTAAGTTACCCGGTTTTTATCACAAAGAACCTGGAGTATGGTTCGCCGAAATCGAACTTCTTTTTGCTTACGCGGGAGTTACCACGGAAAAGAATAAAGCTGGCGCGGTGCTGGCAGCTTTAGATTTCGATACGGTTATGACGATTAGCGATATTATTACTAACGAAACCCCTCCGGAAGATATTTATTACCAAATTAAGCAGAAATTAATTGCTAGTTACGCGGTATCATCGGAATCGCGTTTGAGACAACTATTAAAGGGTGAATTGTCAGGAGAGGGTAAACCGTCTCTAATATTAAATCGAATTAAAATGCTCAGTCGTGGAAAATGCGGAGATGATATTATTAAAACCGTGTTTTTGGATCAATTACCCACCAATTGCCGTTCAGCGTTAGCACTGAGTGAGGTCAAAGAGATTGATAAACTCGCCAAATTAGCAGACCGCTTCATGGAGGCATCCGGTCAGATCGGTTCACCTCAAGTTTCAGCCATGTCATCTGAAAACTCTCACGACGCGTTGGTAAAAATGATTGAAGCATTAACCGTGAAAATCGACGCCATTTCCGCTCAAAGTAGATTTCGTACAGACCAGCGCTCAAATAACTCCAATAATTATCGAAATCGGAACAGAGGTAACTCGTCAAATAGAAAACGTAACAACAATAATAATAATAACAATTTTAATAGGAACAAAAATTTTAGAAATCAAAATAACAATGTCCAAGGGAATAGCGGAAACAATTCTCAATTATGTTTTTACCATGGTAAATTCGGGGATAAAGCAATAAAATGTGTTCCACCTTGCGCATGGCAAGCAGGTACATCCTCGGGAAACTAACAGGGCCGCGCCAAGTAAATTCGATAGATCAATTCTCAGTTTCAAAACGTCTACATATTCGAGACCGTAATTCGGGGTTAATATTTTTAATAGACACCGGTTCTGATGTGTCAATAATTCCGATAAAATCTCAAAATGCTGTTAAACCATCCGATTATGTCATTTATGCTGCGAATAATTCGCAGATAAATACATTCGGGTGTAAGAAAATGACAGTAGATTTTGGGATTAGTCGACATTTATCTTGGGATTTTTGCATTGCCTCGGTACCATACCCCATTATCGGAGCTGATTTTTTAACATTTTTTGGTCTATCGGTAGATTTGAAAAATCGGAAACTGATTGACGTAAAGTCAGGAGATAACACCGCATGTTATCTTAAAAAAGCTACTATTACGGATGTTAGCTCAATCGACAAGTCAATTCCTTTTTATAATATAATACATAAATATCCGGAAATAATTAACTTAACTCAACAAGGGTTGAACACCACGCACGGTGTATTTCATCACATAGTGACAAAAGGACTACCAGTGTCCCAACGACAGCGTCGACTTCCTCCCCATAAGCTTACGGTAGCAAAAAATTATTTTAAAACCTTAACAAAGGAAGGGAAGTGTCGACCTTCGAGTGCAAATTACGCTTCTCCTATCCACATGGTCCTAAAAAGCGACGGTCAGTGGAGAGTTTGCGGAGATTATCGACTCTTAAATATTAATACAGTTCCGGACAAGTTTCCAATACCATTTTTACACGATTTTTCAATTAATTTAAACGGTAAAAAAATATTTACTAAATTAGACTTGCACGCGGCGTATCACCAGATACCCATTTTTCCCGACGATGTTCCTAAAACCGCTGTAACAACACCCTTTGGTTTGTTTGAATTCCTATTCATGCCTTTCGGGTTGAGAAATGCGGGGCAAACATTCCAGAGGTACATGTTCAGCGCTCTCGGTGATTTAGATTTCGTGTTCGTTTACCTAGATGATATTCTCATAACTTCCAAAGACATTCAGGAACATGAGATGCATCTTGACATTGTTTTACAACGTCTAAAAGAATTTTCCCTTAAATTGAACCTTAAGAAATGCGTATTCGGACAAAATCAAATTGAATTTTTGGGTCATCTTCTTGACAAAAACGGTTTAAGACCCCCACCAGAAAAAATTCGCGCCATAACCGAATACGTTAAGCCACGTACTATCCATGACCTTCGACGTTTCCTGGGAATGGTTAATTTCTACCGTCGCAACGTACCTCATGCCGCACAAATCGAGCAACCTCTTAACGCATTGTTACATAACGTGCGTAAGAATGATAAACGCGAGGTTAACTGGAACCCAGCAGCTGAGCAGGCTTTCAACGCAATAAAAAAGGCTTTGTCGGTGGCAACACTGCTGGCTTATCCATCCCCTAGCGCACCTACACGCCTAGTTACAGACGCTTCGGATCTAGGGATGGGAGCAGCTCTAGAGCAATTTTTAAATAAATCATGGCAACCACTAGCCTTTTTCAGTAGAAAATTCAATTCCGCCCAGGCAAAGTACAGCACGTACGACCGCGAACTTACCGCGATTTACGAATCGGTTAAATATTTTAGATATTTTCTGGAAGGTCACGAGTTCAAGATTTGTACGGATCACAAACCGTTGATTTACGCGTTTCAAAAGAGTAGCGAAAAGGCTTCACCGAGACAACAACGTCAACTCTCATTTTTGTCACAATTCACCTCTGAGATAGAGTATCTTCCCGGCGACGTTAACGTTGTCGCTGACGCGTTATCGCGTGCCGATGCGATTACTTTATCATCAGAG